TTTCGTTTCGCTGTCTCTATAATGAACTGTCCTGTGTTTCGAGATTGACTTTTTGCGAGAGATGAAAAAACAATGCTAAGTTCAATATTAAAGACAGCAGTAGACCTTTTATTTTTCAATAAAAGCTTTGCTGCTATTTCGATGCAATATTTCAGTTACTATTTCGTTGTTTGTCTATTCACGACGTTAATCTGCGTAGCCATATTTTACTTCACAATTCAATGAATTAATTGCTTTCGATAATTGACCTCGTTAAACACAATCACTTCTAACTGGAACGCGACGAAAAGAAATGTACCAAGAAATGTCAATTTAAATTCGAATACCATTTTTCGGAGCATTTATGCAAATTTTTACGGAACTACAACAAAAATTAGATTAGGTACGCGATTCACTTTCCCATTCTATAAAAAAGAAGTATTGATATGACAATGCGTAATGCTCCTTTATCGGACTCTCTGAAAAAGAAAGAAGACGAAGCAAATAAAACTCTGAATAGGACCTATACAAGTCAGTCGTTTATCGAGGGGGATTTTCTGTGTTAGTAACCCCTTCTTTTTAGTCTACATCGACTCGGACGCGCGCGCGTATATACTTACTGTCTCGTGCAGACCTTCGTAATAAATCGAGCCCCTCTCTCTCGATATTCCCCCGAGTGAGTCAAGCCGCGCGCGCTTTCAAGAGTTTTCTCCGTTGATGGACTTTTCCCTTATATTTAGATGGACGCGTCTGCCCTTGATATTTATGGATTAGCCTTCGCGATTGATAATCGAACCTGGGAATTCAATCGAGCTGTAAATTGATTTTGAAATGGTCGGCTTCTCAAACACTTTTGTTCGGTTCTGTTTACTTTCAGATTACGCCAGCGTGGTTTTTCCTGTTGCTAAACATTCCTTTAATTTTTGTATTTCAGAACGAAAGTATTACCGTATTTATAGTTAACACTTGCAAGGCTTTGGCAAAAAATAGAGAAAAACATGATGCTCGTTCGACCAAGCAGTATCCCAATGAAAATGAGAAAACAAAGCAGAGTTCTATTCATATATATTAAAATTGAAACTCGCAGCGGCGTGGCGCACAATCGGTAGAAGGAAAAAAAGAGTTGTACGTCGCGTCTTCTTCCCTCGTATGACCAAATCCATCGGAGCGAGTGTGTGTCTGTGTATGTGTGCGTGCGTGTATACGTGGCTTACGCAAACGTTCGGGGCTAAAAAGAAAGACAAAGATGCGATGCCTGTCGCGAGACTGATAAAACCAAGGGCGCGCGGCTCGGTTAAAACGAATATTGAAGCACACACGCATCGCCGACTCTCCCTGCTCTCCTATGTGTGCATATGAACGTTGCAAGTTTCGGATACTGAAGCTTTCGCTTCGTTTCTTTTTATTGATCTTCGTTGAAGAATTTTCTCTTTTTACGTTTCGATGATGTTGACTCTTCCAAAGGAAATTCCTTCCAAGAACGAAGTGCCAACGTGAGTCTGTCACGTCGAATTTACGTAATAATCGCTCGGAAGAATGCAAAAGAAAGAAAGTTGTTTCGCGCGCCAGTAAAAGAGAGTAATGCCAAGCTACCCCTGCGTGCTAGCGAAACAATGTAAAGGGAGGCAGAAGGTCGATAAAACAGATTGAAACCCCTGGCATCGCGAGCGTCACGTTGTCGGCACCGTGCGAAAACCCAATTCATCTCTATATCAACTTTCACCAAAGATATCGAACGAAGCGCGAACTATGCAGAATCGATTCGGTTGGCTGCTTAGTTTCTTCTTCTTCTTCTACCTTCAGACGACTTTGTAATTTACGTGGTTTCTTGCCTGGGGGGGGGGGGGGGTAAATAAGAGAAACGTGATGATCATTAAGACGTTGCTATTCATAATCGTTTTAGAGGATTATAGATAGTCCAAAAACATTATTATAGAAATTTGTAAAAGTACCGAATATACCAAATTCTACTATGGTTATTCCAAGAAACTCTATGTTACAGCGCGAATTACAAAGGCAACAAGTATAACACAGTAGGTCAGGTAAATCTAACGCTTTGATCTACTATTCACGAAGAATCAGCATAAGTCGTACATGCGGATCGAGAAAGAGAGAGAGAGAGAGAAGAGAAAGAGAGCCTATTAATCTACACGGAAGTCTGGTCAGTGTCTGGCTTTGAACGTACATTGACCCGACCCTACGACAACGTGCCGTAGGCTGCTTGATTTTCAATGAAAATGCTAGTGATATGGTGCAACATGTATGAGACTCCGCGAACACTGGTGGTTTCTATCTTAACTGGAGATGGGTTTCTCGGGAAATTCCGATATGAATAACCCATTCGAGAGACACTATTTACGTAAAACATTCAGTCTATCTTTTTTTCCTTTTTTTGTACGCAAATCTTCGGTATAATATGTTACAATTAATTAGCACAAATTGACAAATGTACGTATTTTGCAAGAAGTGTAGTAAAATATGCAAAGAATGCGTGTTTGAAAAAAGTCAAACATCTATTAAATGATTTACGAATTGGCATCATCTTGAGAAAAGTCTCAACAAATTATTCTATTACACATGGGGGAGTGAGAGAGAAAGAGAGAGAGAGAGAGAGAGAGCTCGCGCAATGTCAGAGAGTCGATTAAATTAAATAAATAAATCGTTTTTATCAGTGACGAAACGACTACGATACACACTCGCTATATTGACCCCGAGATAAATAGCCGACGATATCGAGTCATCTCTCGTTCTTTCTCTCTCAACTTTACTCAAACACTTACCTATATACATAAAGCCTGTCTCGAGTTTTTTTCCTTTTTATTTTTAAGCGCGAGGACTTCTTCTCTCTCTCCTCTCTCTCCCTCTTCTCTCTCTCTCCTCTCTCTCTCTCTCTTTCTCTCTCTCTCTCTCTCTCTCTCTGACGAGTGCTAATTAACGAGCTACTTAGTCAAAGGACGAGTGCTTTTTTATGGCGAAGCCCTGCGGGATGAATGCAAATTAACCTTGCTGCTGATTCTAACTTCTGCTTGTTACGTATATACTTGTTTAGAAAACTAATTGCAAGTAAGATTTGTAAAATTATTCACATTTAGTCACGTTCATTGAAATTAATCAAATTTCAGTACTAATCCGTCACCTGAATTTATGCATTCGTGAAAATATAATAATTGTAAAAATTGTCAAAAATAGTAAATTGTTCCTGATTGGAGTATCTCGTAAAGGAGTTTTCTTTCAAACAATGAAAAACATCGAGTATATATACTTTTAATCGGTTGATTGAAATTATAATAAATAAATTATAATAAATAAATTATAAGAAAATGTTGCTCTTAATATTGAGTAAACGCAAACGAGTAATTTCAACTATAAACTTATTAAATAAACTTAAATGTGAATAGATATTAATGATGAAAGAAGAATTAAACGGCGCATGTTAAGAAATTTTCAGTGGGTTTGGCAATAGACGCTTGAACATGCAAATGTACTTTTCAAATGCAGATTTAGTTATTCATGAGCAGTTTGTGAAATGAAAATTAAATTTCCAAAAATTGACACAGGGTTATTCTTACGAAATTAATAACATCTAAAGATTCTTCTCCCATTACTTTCGGTCGCACATTTGTTTACGTCAAGCTGTCTGTCCGCCTTAATTACTGAATCGTGACACATTTATTTATATGTATCATCTTTTCATTAAAAAAAATTGATCAATCCTTTCAGTAACTTATTTCGAAACTAGTCTAGTAATAAAAACAGTTTGTTAAAATAAAGTCAAAAGATGTATGAAAAATATACTCGTTTATTTATTATCTTTAATTAAATTGGTGATTGATCATCATTTAGGATACCATTTTTGTATTTAAAAAGTGTAATTACTTCAAAATCAAACATCTCCAGGTGTTCTAATAAAAATACAATTTTGGTTGAACAAGGATTTTTTTAAGATAAATACTTTTACTGTAAAACTAATTCTTAAATCAATGAAACTCCATTTGTATAAGAAGAGAAAGTTATTTTTAAGTTCAAGTCATGCAAAGCAATCAGCTCGTTTTGAAAAAGTTTTTCTCTGAATAAAAAATTAGAATTTACCAACAATTATTATAAATCCATATAAATATTATTCGTTTCTATTAAAAAAAACTAAAAGATAAATTTACGATGATATAATTATTTTCCGAGTTCAAATGGTCACTAAGAATGAATTATCAATACGCTGAACTAAAACTTTTATACAATATAATCTTGTATGGATAGCAAGCAATCCGTAGATCAACAAGCTAGTCAAGTTCTATCTTTCGATAATGTATAATGGGTTTCGAAAGAATATATTTTCCTCATAGAGTCTAAATGTATGATTCTCTTTTACTATAGCCTTTAGAGTCGAATTTAAAATAAGCTAAAATTACAAACAAATATTGTTTAAACCATTCGTACCTAACTGAATATTCGCATAATTTGTTTTAAAAATAGTAGACTTTTTTAAATGTATTCAAAGTTAAATTCATGATATTGTCAACTAATATACGTGAAAAATTCAAAAGAGAAGTTTTATTTAACGTTAACAAAACTTGATAAACAATGAAGTTTAATTAAAAAAATTACGTTCCCTGCGCTGCCAGCTAATAAGGGCTCAACCCAAAAATAACCGTGATTGAACAATACACAAGGAAGTACATGCAAATCGATTAGTTAATTCGCAAATACACGAGTCTGAAAATAATTAATCTGGACAAATAGACAGTCCGCTTGGATTGTTTATAATCGTCATTAAATAGCGATCATCCCTGCGAGTTCCTCTCTCTCTCTCTCTCTCTTTCTCTCTGCAAAACACGTGATCGGAAAACGTGCCTTTGGTTGCACGTGGCTGAAACAGCCGTAGCGTCAACCCTCCTTTCCCTCCTCTCTCGCACACACGACGACGAGTCTACCCACCCCCTCTTACCCCCGCAGGGAGAGCAGCCGCGGGGACGGCGGCAACTGAAGCTCTCTCAGTCAGTACCCGCGAACCTGCAACGCGCACGAGTCGCCCTCGCAGCGTTTACGTCGCCGGTTTCATCGAAACATAACAACGCGATTCCTCTTTTATTCCTTCTTTCTTTTTTCGTATTATAAATTCGACTTACCTACATTTTTTCTCGTCCTTGCGATTTGCTCTCTACTGAATCATTCTCCTTCCTTTTTCATTTCCTATCTGTTTTAATTTGTTTTACCTTCACCGTGGGCGTGAAACGAACAAGTTTTGGTTGCGCCGCAAACGTAATTTCGAGAGGAGAGCTAGAACACTCTTAATGGCGTGGGGACGTATCCAAAAATCAATCTGGTTTTCCATTACGTCGTCTTCTCCTAAAAGATTGTTTCTTTTCTTGTCATTTCTGAATGCTTTTAATCTCTCGACTATCGCTTATCTAATTTCTATTAATGGCTTTCGAAAAAATATTGGTTGTCGTTGAAATTTGTCAGAATTATCCGAAAGACGATAGCGCTACACTTCACGTCCTGAACAGTAAGACATATTCTCTGTCATGCAATTAAGCATTTGAATCTCTCGGGCAGTTCATGACATTAACGATGACCATTGCTTCACACTTCTCTCTTATATTCAATATTCAACCTTTGGCGTATTTCTGTTTGTCTTTTTAGTGTCTTTTCTAAAAGTAACTTAGCTGTTTTCGGCAGCTTTTTGTGTACTGTGAAGATGTGTTTACAACCGGCATAGAAATCACCTACGGCCCTGCTCATAATTTCTGTTTAGGTATGGTTCATAGAACTACTCATACTTCAATCATTTGCCGTTAAACCCAGACCATAGTCGAGTTTTCTACGTCGGTAACCGTCTAATCGCATATGTAAGCATGTAAAACCAAACGTGTGCCGTATAGTTCGTGCTCTAGAGCAACAGTGTACACAATTTGTAAATAACTCATCAAACGTTTAAACAAAGTATTTGCTATAATCGATAGAAAAGAGTGACAAAAACTTCCTCGAACTACAAATTTGTGCTGTATGAACAACGAGGAAAGCGAGGGCATGATATCGGTGAACGACGTTGCTGCCTATTGGCATCATCCTCAGTCGCAGCAGCAGCAGCAACATCATCATCAGCATCATCAGCCACATCTTTCACCTCATCACTATCAGCAACCGGATCAATCGCATTATATATGGACTAATAACAATAACAGCAACAATAACAATAACAACAACAACAACAATAATATCCACCATTATCAGCAACAGCAGTTGCCTCAGATACAATCATACTCCTCTTTGAGTTCGTCGTCGACGAATCAGCAACACTATTACCAGCAGCAAGTCCAATTGCAAAATAGCTCGCAAGCACCACCCCCATCCCAACAGCAGCAGCACCAGATGCAGTACCACCCACATCGCAATGGTGCCACCCACTGCGCAGATCGGCCGCGCAATCGACACTATGAGACTGTACCAGGTATGGCTGGTTTCTAACGGGGGTGGGTGATGATGTTACACGCACTCTGAGTTGATTCGCGCGTCGGGGGTGTGGTAATGTTGACCTAGTTTGATTGGGCGTTCTTTTTCTATTTGAAGGCTGACTTGTTTATTTCTATTTTATATATAATTGTTTCCGACGAAGCTTTATGGAAATATACTCCGCTTTATTGTTAATTTATACTTTTTCTAACTAATAAAATTTCTGCCAAAGTAATTAATAATAAAATTTGAACCATGTTATAAATTAACCGTTTGTATGCTGATTTATACTAACAACAGATATATTACATAATTAACTAAACGGGCAATGGTTGAGTCAATCTTCTTTGCACAACGTATTAAAGGTTCCAAAATAATTGTGGACAACGATAGGATTAATAAATAAATTTCCCATCATATCTAACGTAGTATTTAAAAATATTAGCAGAAACCATCGCAATGTCGAAGATATTTTTGTCATGAAGATGTCCGCAAGAATCGATCTTCCTATAATAAAATCGAAATCACTTTGCACCCCAGAAGACGCTTCAGGCGTCTCTCGGGAATTACATAAACAGCCTTCCGCAGATGGAACTCGAATAAATAATAGACCATAACCGTATTAGCAAAAGTGGCCGTCGCGTGTTCGCCGAATTCCCTGAAGTACATATTAGCCGCTTGCGTTGTCGTTGCAATTGCAATAATGAAAAAAGGAAAGGTGAGCTGAAGGGAAATAAAGAAGTCTATCATTTTTCCCGACGCAAAGCAACAGATTTGTCGCGTGCCTGAATTATTCATGGCGTTTCTCTAAACTGTTGCGCGCAGAACTCACTCGAATATCCGTTGCTATGCTGCAGCAGCTTTCGCGCGAAATTGCGCGCCGCTTCGTCTTTCTGTTTTTCTCTTTCGGATTGTCCTCTAGACGTCTGCGACGTGGGAATCTCCGTTTCTCCCCGGTAAGATTTTATACATGGATTTGTCGTAGCCGACGGCACGAATTTGCCTTTGCAAGGTAATGTCCTTAGTCGAGGTCGATTGATAATGTTGATAAGGCGAAGCGTCAAGTTGGTCTTGATTTGATAAAAAGAAAAAGCCGACCCATCGGAGAAACGCTACCAATTTTTCACCGAGTCTCCTGGAAAAAATTCTCGTTGCGAAATTCGAAGGTTTATTCGCATTGACGTTATCGCAGAAAATCGTAAAAGACTTTCAGAAAAATCGAAAAATATTCGTAATTATGTAAGCTCTGTAACGATAGAAAGGACTTCATGTGGAAACGCTCGCGTTCAAACGAATTCAATCCTTTTAACACATCAGTTGTATCTAGCCTGCGCAAGATGAATCATGCACATGAGATCTCACTGACCAAAAACACTATAAATTTTCGCAGCACTTTAGCGCGAGTAGATATTCAACGCGGTCCTGGGGCCTACGCACCGTTCAAATAAACAACCGAAATGAAGAGCTGGCGCATGCATAAGCAGCTCCGTCGCCAGCGCGCGCGAAAACGTTATGACAATTTTCATTTCTCGTGAGGCGCGCTTCAAGACGTATTAATCAAGGAAATGCACTCGCGAGCGGCAAATACATGCCTCGGGAAAAAGAGCTCCGTTTTCGAATTTATCGTTTTCTCGCGACTCGCAAGGCGAATTGGACGCGCGCATCTCGCTGGCACCGCACGGATTTTCGTGTTACGCAATCGCGAAATAAAAGTGATACGTGCTTGGAAAACCGAGTAGGAAATGAATGACGATGATTTGGAAATTATCATAGTGCTCTTGCGTGTGGTTGCAAATTCGTAATACATAGTTCTAAATGAACGTGTCTAATGTTTTTGCGGTACGTCGAGTACTTTTTTTACGAAAACAAGCATAGATGTGATAGGAAAGGGATGAATAGCTTGAGTATAAAATTCGCTTGTTAACGTTATTAAACATTGCAGCCTTAATGCGTCAAGTATTTCAGCTAATTGCAGTCATCTCATAAATTTTGGACATTCGTATGTTCGACAATTGATTATCTTAGTAACGTTGTTCTAAAATTAAAAAAATTAATTCTCCGCATTGAAAATGGAACGCGTTTATGTATAATAATTGAAGATTAGATCTTTTAGAAAAATAAGATAAATAATTTTTGCAATATTAGCGAGAACGTCCGTTATCTAATTATAGTAATTACATACCGCGCATACGTTTTTGTTTTTGCTTGGCGCACCATGCCTGAACGCTTGAATCCAGACGTCTAAGTGATTTGAATTTCCCACACGCGAATTATAGCCGTGAATGCATTAAATTTCTAGCAAGGTGTGCTTGCTACCGGTTTCTATCAATATTCTCGTATCCACGAGATTTATCACTTGAACAGGTAAATTTTACCTTACTATAGTTATGCTTGTCAAGTGAATATATCACATTGAAGGAGCAAAAATTAATTCATCGAAAATATTATTGGCTTTGACGACTATGTAAACCGTAAACTATTCTATTACGAATAAGCTAGTTAAGCTGGACTGAAATATGGAACAACGGAACTCCGAGAAGAGAGAAATTAAGATGTAGGTATACGATAGGAAAAAAAAGAGAAGCGCTCAATTAGTTTGGCGTACATACCACGTGTCATCGCGTTTGATCTGGTAGCTACATTAACGACAGTGGGACGGAGGGAACGGAAGGATATACCAAGTCCGCAGCACAGTCACACACAAACGAGTGGCCTGTACACGTATAAAGCCAAGGACACAGAAGCGTTCCATCTCGCTGACGGGGATAATGCATGGACACTACGACTGCGAAGACGAGAGAAGCTATAGCATGTTTATTTCTCATGGAGGCAGAAAGGAAGCTACTGCGCTCGCTACACTGGTCGTCGTTGATCATTTGGCTGTTCCGCTGTGTGAAAAATCGTGACTCTGATGACGAATCCGGTGTGTTGCGTGGAAAATCGACAATGCGAGTCGCTCGTTGTGCTTCTCCTTTTTTTCTCTTCTCAAATGACTTGTTTCAAATTGTTTTGCATGTGTTAGCCGGATTACCTGTGTAAAAAAGAAATACAAACGGATATACATCCTTGCTTCGTACGTTGTTCGAAAATATATTCGACGCATTTGTTTGAAACTGCCGACGACACGTCGAGTTAGCAAACTTCTTTTCTAGAATTAATCTGTCGCGAACCTTCTGGAAAAACTACAAAGAGTAAACAACTGTTGCTTATTAAGATGTTTTACCGATGGTTTCGAAATATTTTTCGCTAATTCATCTGTTTTCTCTTTTTTCATTTTCTTCTCCGCGATGTTGCGACGTAGATTTTCTTGCGAAGTAAACGTCGCTGTTAAGATTTTTTAATGCGCGCAAAAAGAAACAGCCGTAAAACGAGTACAATTTATTACAATTGCCGTTGCATTCAAATGAAAAATAAAACAATACGATTTTCGATTTTCATTAAAAACAAACATTTTTGAATTATCCAGTTCACGTGCCTTCGTGTTCTTCATTCTATTCGGGTATCATACAAGCCCGCTCACAAATAATGCAAGAATAAGTGGAGAAAGTCTCTTGTGCATGGAATCAAGCAGACAAAAGGCCCTTGCTGCATTTGGACCACCTACTCACTCTTGGCCCTTAATCCGACTTTCTTATTTTAGCAAACAATACAATCAGATATTTGTCATATGATAAAATATGTTTGCGATGTAATATTCGTAAAAGATAGCAGTTTGTATTTTTCACATATGAAGGTAGTACTTTGGCATTGTCGTAGAAGATGCATAGCACTTTACTTCAAGAACTAGTCTGTGATTTCTGCGATGTTAACCATCGCCTGTTCTACGAAAGAGTGCATTTTAAATACTGCAGATACGACTAAAATCTAGACAATTATGAATAGACCATAGTGCAAGAACATCAATTCGTTTGATGATACTCCGAATTGATGTGCCCACATCAATGACTGAAAGAAAAAACGAACGATGGAAAGCAGAAATATTATTTTCTTAGCGTATTAGTTTCATTCAATCGTTATTTTATTTTTGTTTATAACTGTACTGACGGACAATGAGTTATTGAATTTATTTCATTTTGCAGGTGACCCCATGATCACGTCCTCTTTGAAGGGTAAGTGACTGTAGACAGTTTTTCATTCATTTATTAATTTTTTTGTTTAGTTCAAGGCATTTTTTCACAACTTTTTCTTTTGACCACTGAAGTATTAACGATTTGTAAATAATATGTTATATATAATAATTCAACATCTAAGATATTTATATTGTCATTAACTTGGTTTAAAAGTTAGTTTATAACCTCAACATATCACCTAATGCGCGTATAAACTTTTTGATATACGTTAATGTGGAACTGTTGTTCAATGGGAAATATCGGTATCAAAATCATTAAGCTGTATAATAAAAAGATCGAAAAGAAACGCCTTTTCCTTTAATGAATTCTAAAAACACCAACAAGTATATTGCAGTCCCATAAAATAAATTTTCACGTATAACTCGCCAGGCGTGTTATATATCCAGAGTATTAACTATCGAGCGTTACTTCCGTTTTCAATGTGTATGTTTCAATTTATGTAATTCACTAGGCCAGCATGACAGTTTTTCAATTCGATTTTGAACCACAGGTAATTGCATGTTCAGTTCAGTCAAATCAAGGGAAAAAAACAAAACAAAAGAAATTGCAGACGTATAGCCAACAAACTTCAGCTTGGTTCCCATTCTCGTTTTACATAATACATCGTCCTGGAAATTCGCTGCCACTGACAGGGTGGTTTCGACTACGTCGAAATACATGTACAATGGACAATCGTCCAAATTTTGTTTGCCCGTATGTAATAGCAACGAAGATAGACGCTTCAAATTCGTTGGTAATATACACGTCCCTTTCACCCTGTGTTGACTCGCATGTGAATTTTTCGTTTGACCGAATTCTTTCATCTACCTTTTATATTAGAAACATGCATTTGATCGGAGTCTACATAGCTGATAATAAGAAAAAATATGTAGCCTAGCGCATAGCGGGTGAATCTCGGATTTCCCCTGCTTGTGGCCTTTCGCTGTCCATTCCTCTTACTTACGCTTCTCGGCTGTGCAAACTGAAATTTCATTTTAGCCTCGCTGAGACGTGCCTCTGCTACTGACATCCCGACGTTCGTTATACTCTTTTATTAATTGCTTTCTTTTTAGTTTGATTGATATTTATTCCTACGCTATTTACTGGATTAGACTAGTGTAGCGAATTAAAACTATAAATCTGCCATTCATTCAAAACAGTATATTATTCGTAGTGGCTTTTTGAATTCGTAGATCGACTATAGCTTTACGTGCAGCTGATCGCTTTAAAATCAAACAAATTTCATGTAGTTACTTTAATACACTGTAATATCTAAAATGATGATTTTATTTCTACAATTTATTTGTTTAAGTGAAAAACGCGCGCGTATTATATTATCAAATTCTTGGAAAACAAAAAGCTGAAAACATTTTTACCGACGTTTTAAAGCAACGCTTATCTTCGCGAATGAATAAATTTTCCATCGCGCAAAAACAAAACGTGTACGTCGATCGCCAAGTGCATCGGCGAAACCCATACACGTATATTATATGTGTGTCGATGGAAATAGGATCTATCGTCGCAAGGGCCGGTCGCCGCAAAGAAAAACCGCGTGGGATTATCCTGCCTTACCGACGCGAGACACGTGTAATGCAGTGGTTTGCACCATGAGAAACAGTTGTAGTGGTTAAGCGTTTTTCTTTTGATCGCCTACACAACGTGTATTATTATTGCATATTTCCATTGGATTATCGGTAATAGAGCTACGGGGTTGCAGGTTATGTTCCATCCTTTCAGTTTTTAGAAAGCGCGAGATTATCCAAGTTCGTAATCCATATCAATGACGGATTTTAATTCGATAGCTGTACACGTATATCGTGCGACTGGATCCTATTAAACGCTTGGCGCGACTGCAAGTTGAACTATTTTCGCTCGTAAAAGGCGCGTTGAAAAAAAAAAGCAGTAGTCTTATGTACGCACATGAAATTCCTCGCGCATCTGCTCGTCAGCTGCAAATTGTTTCGCGCGTCGCGACTGTATACGCATACGCACTTCTAGCTCGTTTGCTTTCTCAGGCCGAAAACCCAAGCGAGCGCGTGTGCTTAATCGAAAGTTTCGTGGCACACTTTGAAAAAGAAAAAAGGAACGTTGCCGACTATATGTATATATACACTCTTAACAGCCAATTGAGTGCTCTTTTATATTGATACGCTCAACGAGACTGGCATTATCGTTTGTTAAAGATTCGGACAAGAGGCCTTTGATTGCTGCTCAGTATGAACGATTCGGGTGTATAAAATACTTTCGTTTATGGGTGATGCTCAATTCTGATACAGTTATTTTTTTATAAGTTTTGCATTGATTGTTTTATAATAATTAAAATTTATTTTTTTATTCGACAAAACTGTACATATTATAATAAAGTTTGTATTTTTCAATGTATAGCTTTAAAAAGATACGATAGCGATTTACAAAATCCAATTGCAGATGATAGTTCTTTATGTACTTATACCTCGTGTAGTCATCTCAATGTGTACTTAATTTCAATACGATTTTTCATTCAAAATATTATCAACGACGTAATTAATTGAATCATCACTTTATCACTCACAGTTTTTTCAGCTATATTGATCGCCAATAAATATTGCACCGATAAATATATTATCAATAACGCTACAATTCAGCGTATAGAAAAAAAGTTATAATTACAAATCGGCTGGAATAGGCGCCTATAATCGATACCATCATCGTTTTTCTAATCGTCGAAACATTCGAACATGTTTATACAAACGCGTTGAGAAAATAATGCGATATGAATAGATTATTTACCGCGCGCTTATGTAAAGCCCTACTAGCTCTCGCGCGTGACATTTTGCAAGGTGGCCGATTGCTAACTAGGCGCGCATACTTTAATGACTTAATTAATTAATCCGAGCTGGATTAACAATTTTCTCTCACAAGTCCTCGGAATCATAATTGAGTCCACGTCGTTGGTGGAATATTCAGTATATCTATATACTGTAATATACGTGTGATTTTGCATGATTTGCGCTTATGAGGAGGAGCTTGCGATGGATGTAATGCACGATGTCGTGTTTTACGATCGTATTTATTTTTGTTTTCCAATTTTATGGTAAGATAGTGTTGACACGCTATTGCATTTTATGAGACCTGAAAATTTGCTAATAGTATTTTTTTTCACGGTACATCGAAAGTACCTGAATGTCCAAAATTATAACTCAACATTATAACTCGTCACATTATCAAATCTTTCGCATCCAAATACAGTACGCGTACAATCGTTTTTTAGTAAAAATTATGATTCAATTTCAAGCAAATAAACCCTAAAAAGTAATTTGTCAGTTTTATGGTTCTAATCTACGTTATTTATTTCGACAAGTGTATTTAATCGATGCAAAGTCATAAAATCGCAGTTGATGCGTATTAATGAAAAGCCGCGCTGAACGATGAATAAGATTTAATAGTGTCTAAGAATATATTATCTAAGTCAGTTCGATTCGTGCGAATCAACTCACATTTTCTCTCGATAAAATGGCGGATAGAAAAATTTATGGCGGCTGCTTCGCGAGCGTAATATCGCATTATTTCATTCAAAGACGCGCTTACTGCCGATAACGTAAATCATTTATTTCCAATCGAGTGACGAAATCTATTTTAAGCATTCACGTGTCTTTCACATTTCTACGTTTTTAGTTCAATCGTTACTCAAATTTGGCATAAGTATATTGATACTAGACAAAACACTTGTACAAAGATCTGAAAGACGCATGGGGAGGGGGGGGGGGGGCTCTCCTTGATCTTTTTTTTTTCATTTTGGTCCGGTTCAGCCGAAATCGAAAGTGCGCGTCGAGATGGGAGGGATGATCAAGGTGAAAGTCATCTCGCGTCCCTGTTGTCCTAGTTTTCGGGATGAAACTGATTTCAAAAAGACGATCTTCGTACTTCGGTCGACCGACGCTTCGTCGCGAATACACTTTTGAGTAAACGTGCCCGCGCAAAAATGTCCGGCGTCGCGGAAAGGACGAAGGTCGATTATATGCCCCGGCGTTGATTGCACCTTTCGTCGTTTTCCTGGTTCCTAATAATATTACTACTTTAATGCGACGTTTTCGACATGAATTTCCGCCGCCACGAGCGGGTCTTTCAGAGTTTTCGAGGGATAATGATACTGTACTTGCTTCAATTTGATAAACTGAACTTTTTGGAAGCAAAGAAAAAAAATGCGTTTCTTTTTTCTTTTCAAGTTACCGCGCCGAAGCAAAATAGAAAGTTAATCTTCTCTGCGTCTTCACGGTTTCAATCGTAGTAAGAGCGTTCAAATGTAAGTAAAATTCTTTTTGGGCAATCGGAAAACCGATATACTCGGTGCTTCTTTGTGTAATGTAAATATCTGCGACTGAAAGCAGTTATTTTATGTCTTCTTGTTCCGGTACTTCTTAATTGAATTTCTTGTATCGTGCATTGAATAAATAAACATCGTTTATACAAGTTATCACACGAAATTTTTATGGACTTAAGAATGTAGTATTTAAATATATTTATTAATATATTTACCGGTGTGTAACTCTTGAAAACACAGATGCAACTCTTTCTGCGATCAGTAAAAAGGATATGCCAGGAAACCACCGGCAAAGCCGAGCAATGTCTGAAAAATTCTCTTTTCCTTTCCGCGCGACGCCGAAAAATCGAACGAGTTTTTATTCGTGAATATCAGTCGAGTTAAATTACCATAAAATCAGGAAGCTTACACTCATGGAGAGAACTTTCTCTTTCCTCTCCCTTTCGGCCACTCGCGCGACAGAATTTTCAAAAACGAAATTCTCGATCCTGCGGATTTTATTTTATGCATGTTTCGCAATCAATTTTTTACATTTCGGATTAGATTTAAAACCCATGTATTGCTGTCGATTAATTTTAATGTACCCTGAAGGTATGTGACCTTTCGTTATTATTCATATTTGATTATAAAACGATAACAAAATATTTTATAACTGTAATATTGAAGAAACGATCCATTTATTAGTATTTAATTGATAACA